ATGAAATTTGCTACCAAGTTTCTGTTAGATCACTCTCTGGTTTCCATCATCTACCTTTCATTTCTTTTAGGTTTTGTGCATATCAGCCACTTATTACTTTCATGGCTGTCTTCTAGAACTATTCTTTCAATTTATTGGTCTAATACCTATGTCAGTTTATTTTATTTTATTTTTAAATTTTGGATTGGACCTGTGATTTCAGGGGAACTCTCAATGGGGAGCTCTACCTTGTTCAGATCAAGAGCTGCTCTTTAACTTGTAATCTTAGATAGTTGCCTGAGGTGTTGAGAGTTTAAACGACTTGCCAAGAGTCACATAGACAAGTCAGACAATCTATCGGCATTTATTAAGTCCTTAAAATGTGACAGATGCTGAGCCTGGAATAATGAGGGTACCATGAAAGGTGAAAACATGGTCCCTTTACTCAGTTTTATTTTAATGGGGCAGCAACATGCAAACACTTGCATGTATATGGGAGGACAGGAACATTTTTATATGGAAACCCAGAGCGTGCTTGTGATTCCAAAGACAGAAGATAAAGAGATGGAGATATATGTATCAAGCCAAGATGCTGCATTAGAGCAGGTGGGGTCCTTCAGAATTATTATCTCTTGTGAATTTGAATTTGTAATGATGTGAATGTCATTTCCTCAGTTTGTGGATATGAAACAGCAGTTGCTTTTGCCCAGAGATAGAGTAGTAAGCCTAAAGGATAGTGGGAATCTCCAAATCTCAACTTTCTGTGTAGTTCACAAAAACTAGGCTTGACCTTTCTGTCCTTCTTTTATTCCACATAGAATTGTAGAATCTCAGAGTATGTGCTCAAGAAATGAATAGAAATGAATCCACATAATGTCAGAAGTAGAAGGAATGTAAATAAGTAGCAGTCTCAGAAAAAGGCACTAGCTTGGGAGGGGAGGCCAGGAAGGAAAAAGACTCTTGCGTAAGGTGAGAGTTTGAGCTGTCTGGAAGAAGGCCGGGAGGTGAAGGTGAGGCAGTAGAGCATCCCAGACATGGGGGAACAACCAATAAAAAGAAACAGAGTTGGGAGATAGAGTGTTGCATAAGAATAGCAAGGAAGCCAGTGCCATTGGATCGTAGAGTATATGGAAGAGAGTAAAGTTTAAGAAGACTGGAAAGATAGGAAGAGACAAAGTTGTGAAGGGCTTTAAAAGTCAACCATAGGATTTTGTATTTGATCTTGGAAGTAAAAGGTACCCATCAGAGTGTATTGAAAAGAGAGTGGGATGACATGGTCAAACTTACATTTTAGAAAGTTAACTTTGGCAGCTGAGTGGAGGATGAATTGGAATGGGGAGAGACTTGAGGCAAGGAGAATTAGGTGATGAGGGATTGCACCAAGGTAGTGCCTATGTGAGTAGAGAGAAGGGTACATATGAGAGAGATGCTGTGAAGGGAGAAAAGGCCTGACTTAGGAAGAGATTAGATTCTTTAAGGGTAAGTGCTAGTGAGGAACAAAGGCTAGCCCTGAGCCTGGGTGATTGCTAACATGGTGGTATACTTGACAATAATAGGAAAATTGGGAAGAGAGTCAGGTTTGAGAGGAAAGATGAGTTCTGTTTTGAGATGCCTATGGGACATCCAGTTTTAAATGCTCAATAAGCAGTTGCTGATGTGAGACTAGAGATCAGGACAGAGGTTAGGGCTGGATAAATAGAGAAACATCTTCATAGAAATCATAGTTGAAACCAAGAGAGATGAGGAATTCACCAAGTGAAATAGTAGAGGGAGGAAAGGTACAGGAGAGAGTCATGGAGGCCATCCACAGTTAGAGGGCTTGACTCCAGCAAAGGAGACTCCGAAGAAGTGGCCAGACAGGTAGGAAGAAAACCAGGAGAGAGCAGTGCTAAGAAAACATAGAGGAAAGAGAGTATCCAGGAGAAGAGGGTGATAACAGTGTCAAAGGTTACAGAGAGGTCAAGAAGGATGAAGACTGAGAAAAATTTTTTAGATTTGGCAATTAAGAGATCATTGGTAACTTTGGAGACAGCAGTTTCAGTTGAATTATGAGGTTAGAAGACAGACTACAGAGCGTTTAGGACAGGGGTAGGCTACTTGTGGCCTCGAGGGCACATGCAGTCTACTAACTTGTACTTTAGTACCTTCTTTAAAGAGACATAGCTCTTTTACTGCAATCCCATGGTTAGGAGCTGTGAAGGATGTTAAAAATCATCTTCCATCTGCAGAAAAAGGCTTTTTGATTTGAAGGAGGATAGAAGACTACTCTTGTGCAGGTTTTGAATTGCCTGAGCTGGGTAGAGCTTATAATGACCCCTTTATTCCATGCTTGCATATTCTATTGTTATTGCTGAAAAGAAAGTATGAAAAGTAATGTTAAATGTTTCAAGGATGCAGGTCATGATCTCTTTCTTCCTTAGGAAATGGCTTTCAGGGATTTCTGTGGCCAAAACCAGCCCAAACAGTGCCTGGTGACTAATTTTCTAGAGATGAGCCTAATAATGGCCTTTAGCTTGGCTGGGTGACTATTGCTTGTCTCAAGCTTGAAGTGAGTCCCACTTGGTATAGGGCTTTCCAGAATCAAAGCTCTTCTGGCAGAGCCAGGGTCACCTCTCAGCCGTTAAGTACCAGAGAGGCAGCTAGGTGGTGCAGTGGATAGAGCTCTGGCCTTGGAGTCAGGAGGACCTGAGTTCAAATCCGGCCTCAGATACTTGAGACATATTAGCTATGTGATTCTGGGCAAGTCACTTAACCTTGATTGCCTCACCAAAAAAAAAAAACAAAAAGTACCAGATTAGGATTTTAGTGGAATGATAATTATAATAATGCTAATAGAGAATATTTGTATTGCAAAGATGAAAGAAATATTTTAATTTATTAATTTTCCTCAGTTTGTACTTATACAAATCAACATTTTTTTCCAGTACTCAGAGAACTATAACTGGAGGGCTTTGATTGTGTTTTTATGCTGATCATTAGATCTGAATGAAGAAAAATAATTCTATTTTAGTAAGTAAGCAAGCAGCTTATCTGAAATGTGTGCTCTGAATCAATTATTATGCTGCATATAACAGATTATGTTCTGACTCATAGGAAAAAGTGGCCTCCACTTTGGGTATTCCCAAAAACAGAATCATGTGCCACATGAGACGGGCTGGTGGAGGTTTTGGAGGCAAAATGACCAAACCTGCTCTACTGGCAGCTGTGGCTGCTGTGGCAGCAAATAAGTGAGTTTTCTTTGAGTTTCATAATTTTAAAAAATCTTATTTATACTTTTAAATTTTGAGCCCTTGAGGATTTGGCATCTATTGACTCTTGAGTGCTTCCCTTCATACGATTTCTAGTCAAAATCATCTAGAAAGTTCCTGTTAAACATTCTCAGTGTTAAAGATCATGGGATAATAACAATTTAAAGGTTTACAAAGTAAGTACTCAGCAACAATTCTGTAAGTCCTGTGAGTGTGATTATCTTTATTTTATAGATGACAAAATTGAGGTCCTGTAACAAGATACCAAGTCTGATGTTCCTTCAACAAAATACTGACTTTTAAATGAGGCTGCCTAACTTTAATATGCCTTTCTCATTCAGTTCTAATTAAATCAGACTCTTACTTAATGATATGACATGTCAAACTTCTCATTTTGGTACCTTCCTGAGTAGTTTAAATACTGATATACAGCTTTTGTCTAAAATATCTTCTGGTTTCTTAGCTCCACAGGGATTAAAACTGAGTAAGTTAATTAGCACAAAGTTCTCAGCATGTGACAAATCACAAGGAAAGAAAATACAGTTACTGCCCTTAAATTGCTTTCAATCTAATGAGTAAGTATTCAGATTAGCAGAAATGAAAATGCCCAATGACATATGAAAACTTTTACTGTTCTGGGACTATCTGGGACTACTGGACCTTTACTCCCAAAATTAATTTGACCTTTTAACACTTTGGAGATTGAACTCCCTTTACCATATATTTCAAAAGTCCTTCACAGTCTGCCCATTGTCTCCTTTAGTCCAATTTCTGATGAAGTGGCCCTAATACTCTCCCCAGACCTTTACTCTACTTGTGTGAACCCTTTGTTCTGTCCCCTCCCTTCTCCTTTTGCAATTTACAACCCCAGTTCTCTCTTTCTCTCTCCCTTTCCTTTTCCCTCTTCTTCTCCCTCCCTTCCTTCCTTTCTCTCTCTTTCTCTCTCTTTCTCTCTCTCTCTCTCCCTCCCTCCCCCTCTCTCTTTCTCTCTCTCTCCCTCCCCCTCTCTCTCTCCTCGATCCCTGCCTCTCTCCCTGAAGATTCAGGCTCATATCACCAGCTGCCTATTGGACATTTCAAACTAGATGCTCTAAAGGAATCTAAAACTTATCATATCTAAAAACATATGTTGCCCCAAATCTACTTTGCTTCTGAACTTTCCTAATTTCAATCAGAATCTTCGATCAAAAAAAGTCCTTTCTAACTCCTCCTCCACACAGTTGCCAAACTCAATTTCCTAAAACATCAGTGTGACCATGCCACCCCTCTTTTCAAGAAGCTCCAGTGGTTTCCTACTTTCTTTGGAGTCAAATACAACCTCCTCTGTTTGCCGTTTAAAGCCCTTCACAATCTAGTTCCAACCTGCTTTCCTAGACTTGTTATGTATTACTCTGCTTCATGTACTTGATGGTCCAGCCAAATTGGCTTTTTTTTGCTGTTCCTTACACAAGAAATTCTGTCTCCTTGCATACTTTATGCCTTGAATGCATTCTGTCTTTATCTTAGCCAGCTAGAATCCCTAGCTTCCTTCAGAACCCAGTTCAAGGGCCACTGTCCACATGGGACCTTTCCTGATCTGCCTTGTTTTTAGTACTTTCCTCCACCCCCTCAGAAGTGGCTTTCTATTTATTTTGTATGTGTTGTATATATGTGGATGTGTTATCTCCTTTAATCGAATGTAAACTCTGTGCAGGCAGAGACTATTTTATTTTTATCTTTATATCTTCACTGCCTGGTACATGGTAAGCATTTGTTGATTGATTGAGG